CTTTAGGTAAATTTTCATTTTAAACCCGAGATAAACTTCTAGATGAATGCCATCATTAAGACTGCTTAATCCACCTCTGTTAGATGGGCTGACTCTGCCTCTGCCTCTGCCTCAGTTCATTTGTTGCTGATATCCTTATCTGTGTTTTTGTCACCTCTAGATTTAACCATTTCAATGTCCAGTTTAGCCTCAGACATTCTCCCTTTGTAACTGTAAGGTCTTCCGAAGTTCTGCTGCCTGAACTTAGTCTCACCATATCCCATTTACCTATCATGCATGAGCTAGCTAATCTAACTTGGCTCTGGTTAAACAGCACTTGGATTCTCAAATTTTCATCCTGTTTACAAATGCTTCTACATATCTGTAATCTCCTTAAGCCCCACAACCATCCTAAATATCTGTCCTCTTCCAACTCATCTCCTGAGTCCCAAGTTCTGAACTTTCTTCCTAAACCTGTGACTCTCTGCCAGTCTCTTTCCTTCTTTGAGATGCCCTTCTGTAAATCAAATTCTTTCGCCAAGCTTTCAATCATCTGTTTATATATATCCTTATAAGGCTTTGTGTCAAATTATTTATACAGTCCTGTGAAGTACATCAAGACATTTTATTTCTTTCTTCAGATTTTCAGCCCCTGCAGTACTTCACCTTTCATTGTATTGTGGGAACTATTTGAAGTATTTTTTTATAATTTGCTGTTGTGTCATAGTGGTTCACAGCAGAGAAAAAGGCCCTTTAGCTCATCGAATCTGCAGTCAAAAATAACGACCTAACTATTTTACTTCCATTTTTTAGCACTTGGCCTTGTATGACTTGCATCGCAAGCGTACATCTAAAAACTTCTTAAATGGTTTGAGGTTTCTGCCTCTACCATCCTTACAGATAATTCCGGATTCTGAGTTCCAGAATCTTACCATTCTCTGAATGAATAAACATTTTTTGGCATTACCTTTAAATCTCCGTCCCCTTACATTAAATCTATTGTGTTGAGGCTCTGTTCTTTTCCAGAGATGTTACATTTTTTAATTCATATTTAGCAATAGTCCTCAGTATGCTCAAATAAAATCCTAAGTCTCTGCAGCCAACTTGTACTTCGTATCTTTTAAAATTCAAGCCACACTCTTGAAACATATCACTGACAATAAATTTGTCAAACCGCTACATTGGCTACATATACAAAATCAGAACATTAATAATTAAGATGTGAACATTTCAATTTTCACAAAGTCTTTATTCAACACCCTTACTGTTGGTTTCTCGCAATGATACTTACACCAACACTTTGATTTTACAGCCACTCATTGATTTAATTTAAGAAAGTGGCCACAAATCTCAAGAATCATCAACATAAAACAGGTTATGCTTTCATGAATCTTTTTCAATGAATCGCAAAAGATTCCAGGATCTAGTTGATTGAATTGACTAAAATAAATTATTTCAGAAAAGTGACACCAGCTATTGGTAACTTACAACTTAAATCTACAATATCCTGAATAACTGTAATCGCTGGTAGAATCAACAGCTTCCTTGATCAACCTCATTCCAAAAATACCAGCACATCAGATAAGAACCAAAGGAATACACCCTTTTTTCTGGGTTACTCCCAGTATATTATAGTGTCACACTGTATTGGCATGAAATCCTAAGCAGTGGTAAGTTGAAGAAAAGTAAAACAAGAGTGCGTAGAAAAACTGAGAAAAAGGAGCATCCTTCAACTGAGGTAAAGGATTGAAGCCTGTAAGAGAGAAGAAGTGGCAAAAAGAGTAGTAGTATTGGCCCAAGCATATCTGAACCCAAGTGGGGAAACAGGCAGTAGCAGCTGAGTGATGCTTAGAAATAGAAAAGGTAGCGCTGGCTTGAGAGGCAGAAATGCAAACATCCTGCTACTTTGTCTTTCAAATCAGGAGACAAATTGAGATTTAGTCTCAAAAGTATGAGTTGTTTTTGCTCAAACATAAACTAATGCAGATTGGCAGTTGGTTTATAAACATCATGAGTGGCTTATTTAATTTCTAACAAGTTATATGAAGCTAATCCTGTGGCTTACCTGTAATGGTTCACCACCAGTCGGCTTGCTCTAATGAGAGAGCAGCCTAATGATCTTCTGAGACTACGGGTGACTTTACCCTATTTTGCCTGTGATGATAAAAGCAGGCCCACATGGTGATGATCAAAGATACTTGATCTCCACACACCACTATCTCCAAGTTAAATGTCATCCTGCATACATTTCAAATTAAGGGTTATTAATATTCCCAGAAGGAAGGAAATCGAGTTTCATGCTTCCATATTTGTTCTTTCTGCAGTTTTGATCATTGGAGTGTGAACTCCATGCTTTGGCCCTTGTTGTTAATATTGCTAAAATTATTTTCCCTATCTTGTCAGATAGACTTTTGTGTATTTATAATTCTATTACTGGGACACAGTAATAGTTCTTACAATTTAAATATAGGAAGCCAAGATATGGATGTCACCTGACAGTAATGAGAACTATAAATGCACCAAATACAAAAGTAGGGTTAGGTATAAGTGGAAACCTGATAACAGAGTCAAGTCTCAAGTTAATCTAAAGTTCAGTTATTAGTGGACCTCCTGATTTTGGGTCACATATATGAAAAATGTTAATAATGATACTGCATCCCCACCACGGTGCCCACTTACTGTGAGCTCATGTGATCTCTACCTCGCAGTAAGAACAGAACACATTACAAACCTTCAATCTCCTGCAATCTTTAATATGACTGAATTTTGAATTTTTAATATAAAATAATATCTCTGGAGTTAAGTAAATATTTTCTAAGAAGTCTACACCTGAAAACGACTTTTCATATTTGTTCAAGGGGAAGTGGTGGCATGGTGGTAATATCACTGGACTAAGAATCCAGAGGCCCCAAGCTAACATTCTGGGAAGATGAATTCAAATCCCACCATGGCAGAAAAATAAATTCAACAAAAAAATCATGAATTAACAAGCTAGTCTAATGGCGACCATGTAATCCTTGTTGATTGTTGTAAAGCCCATCTGAATTCACTTCCTTAGAGAAGGAAATCTGTCATCCTTACTTGGTGTCGACTACATGTAACTCTTAAAAACAGAAATGTGGTTGGTTCTTAACTGCTGTCCGAAATGATCCAGTGGGTGACTCAGTTCCAATGCATTTAGATTTGAAAACAAAAGTCAGCCTTGTTAGCGATGCCCACATCCCATGCAAGAATATAAAAAACGTAAGACATGTATTCCCTGAAGAAATTGTGAATTTGCAAGAGAGCCTTAATTTTACTGACAAGTCAAAATATATCTGTCGAAGGAATACGTACTGAATAGGTGGAAAAACAATGTTAGTAGAACGCGACCTAACAAGATAAAAGACAGTACCGCAGCAGTCAACCTGGACTTGCTTTTTCAACTTTTCCTGCTAGAATGAAAGCTGAGACTTCCTAATCCCACAAGTTTATGTGTCCTCGTGAACTACTTACCTCAAAGTGATGTGAATTTGTATATCTTTTAAGTGCAAATTTGGCAAGGTCAATGTTGATGGTTTACCAAACTACCATAGGCCCAGCTAGGTAAGTGAACAGTCATTGAACTGAATGTCAAAATTTAGCTAGTGTTTCAAATTTCTATATTATATCTGACTAATTTTTTTTGGTTTAAAATAGCTGATTTTGACGAGTACAGTAAGTGCTGATTTTAAGGGTGCACAAGCACCATTATTTTTGTAGATGATTCCTAATAAGGAAAACAGTGATATCCAAGTTGCTTTGCGATCCATCAGCTGGCACTGAACTGAATCTGAATCCAGATCAGAGCGATGGTATTGTGTGACTGTTTGCCTAAAGCACATGGGCCAGTAACCAGCAGGATGATGTCTATACATTCTAAACAGAAAGTGAAACAGACATGGATATGTGAAGCACACCAGTAAATTTAAACATATACATCATTATCTTTTAACCTGACTTCAGCTTACTCAGAAACTGTGGGGTTAATAGCAGAGAACCTATACTTTAAATGGAAAATCAAATTAGTGCTGGAGTTACATACATTTAAGTGGTAGAGGTTCAAGCTTGATAGTAGTTGTGAAGTTTTCATGATTATGCTAACCATATAATGTTTCCATAATCAACTAAGGCCTCAATTCCACTCTTAAAGAGCACGTGACACTGAATGAAGCCTAATTTATATAGCTATAAAATAATTATAAAATAAAATCAATATATGTTATGCACCCATTCGAATGCTTCACATGGGGATGTTATGTTAAGCTATCCACATGACGCTTCCATGACACCAGTAGCTATTACTGGCATGGCAGTTTTCAATATTACTAGTTATATTTGCATCACGAGTGCCGATTCTGCGTCTAATCTCCCTCCAAGCCTCGCTGTTGGGTAATTTCCAGTTTTTACAATTAGTTATTTCTGTAGGAAATATTTTACGTGATATTCTTGATCATTGCTGTTCACAATTCGAAGGCTCTTAGTCTTTATCCCTTGCTTGATGCTTTCTTAAAGCATTGGTTTCCTTCCTTATTTTTGTTTTGCATATCTACTTTTTTCAAAGGTTAGTTCCTGCTCTCAGTACTGTTAGCTTCCCAGTTCATTCAGTGAGTGCTGAGTTTTCATGATTGTGTCTTTCTTATCTGTTTGAAGCCCCACTTCCTGGATCTTATTAAAAATCCTTCCAATATTACCACAGTCCCAATTTTGTGCCCTTTTTCCAGACCCCCTTCTCATTTCTTTTATGAAGTACCACATTTTACTCCTTTACTTATTTTTTTGGATTTTTCATTAATTACTGTCTCCAGACCCCTTTTTTTGGTTTTCCACATTCTTTTAAACCCGCTTGCAAGCCCGTGATTTTCTTGCACCTTATCTTTCATTTGAATCTCAGTTGCCTGCTGTTACTTATTTTGATCTTGTTCTGTCTTTTTACTTATTTTGATATTCCCATTTGCTGCAGACCTTTAAATTTCAATTCTCCATCCTTATCGTATTCTTACATTTTCATTGCTGGTTCTCATTTCTCGCTGGTCTGCTCTTTGCATGGTGGATAGTACCCCAAGTTGACTAAGGCCCTGCAGGGGTTTTGTGGAGTTCAGGGTACTAGCAGTTGTAGGGGCTGCTGCATAACACCTGCTGTTTTCCTCACTTCGCTTGGGGCCGCTCAGAACCTTACTGCTGCTCTTCCTTTCTTTCATGCAACTGCTTCCCAGCATGGGAGAAAATATCTCCAAACATGTAGACCTGGGGTTCAACGGAAAGCAGAAGGTAGAAATAGCAACAACAGTGGAAGATTGAGCAAAGTGAAGTTTATCAGCATAAGCAAGATACAGAAAATATATTTGGTCTTGATGTGAACACTACCACCAGTATTTACATTGGAACTTTGATTTTAATGGAGAGGGAGCAGAATTTAACTCTCACCATTTTGGGTAAAGCCACGAAGAGCAGACATTAAAGTGGAGTGGGTAAATTTCTTGAGAGATCAATGTTGCTACTTTCTTTTGGGTGGCATGGCCCCGGCCCAAATTGATTATCTTAAACATCATTCAATTCCACATTCAAAGACTCCAATTGTAATTAATAGCCAATTGAAAGAGACACCGCCTCGGTGAAACACTGTCTGCACAGACAGGCTTGTTAAAATGTCTATTTTAGTACCTGGAAAATCACCCATGAGAAACTGTCAAAACTACAATCCTGCACTTACTTGAGTGTCACTGGATATCTTCAGTGAAGACAGATTTTCTACTGCTGGTGACCGCCTCTTTTTGCATGCTACAACAGGCAGCTAGTTAGAGGATTGTAGATGAGGCTCGAGAGTTAAAATCATCTGGGGCTCCTGATCACCCAACCAGTTTCCCCTTACGTGTCACACACAGGATGTCACATTTTGTAGAAATGTGACGTGAACAAGTCATAGTTAAATACTTTTAAAAAAAGCACATCAAATAGAAAGAAGGTTAGTCATCCCCTGTTGGCATTTGTGGCCTGAGGTAATAAGCAGCAGAACTAACCAGATGTCAATCCAAAACTAAACTTTAAGCATCTATAATTAGCCTCTAACTAGCCTTAAACAATTCAGGTGGCTTCCCAACAGGAAATGATAGGGAGTGACAAAATTAACAACTGAACAAATGAACAAATTAGAACTGCTTTGATCCCAGGAAGACCTGTCAGCAATACCACAGAAGATCAGCAAAACTAATATTAAAAAAATCCTTTCTTTACCATAGCAGGCAGGTTATTATCTCATTAGCCGTCATCTTAATCAGCCAGTAAAAGGAGAGGGAGGAACTGTTGTCAACTTTAAGCAAGACATTGGTTTAAAAAATGTATATATTAAAAGGTAGCTTTTGATTCAATTTTCAAATAATTTTTACTCTGTGGCAGAATGTTATTTCTGGTACTTATTGCTAAACAATAAATCAATCATTGGCAGTGATCACCTCACAGTACCTGATTTCCTAAATTTAACTTTTCACAATTATTTAATCACTGGCAATGCACGTCCATATCTATCCATTTACTTCACATACAATGTAGCAACTACATTACCCACATTGACAATTATGGAGCACAAACACAACAACTTCCTGGCTTGGCACTAAAACATCTCACCAGTTCAGATGTCTCCTTCACTTTAACACACCGAATAAATTGAAACATTAGATCCTGCTTTCCAGGCTGATTCTCAGCATAACGCAATTTTAACTTCCTGCTGTCAGTCTTATCATTATCAACAGATCAAATGAGAGTGTACTTTATTCAGGTGCTCATGCATACATCGCATGTTAGTGTAGTATGATCCTGTGGCTAGTTATGTAATATTCAAGTTACAATATACTTTTCCAAAACCAATTATTAATTGCGATTGTGACAAATAAACCCACGATTCCTCTTCACTTTCTACTACACCTACATGCTTCCTGTGAATTTCTGGTTAGCATCAGAGGTAACAACCACATGTTGAAATATGACAGTATGTAATCTGGAGAACAGAAGGTTCATTGAGATAAGAAATTGATGAGGACTATCACTTCATGGAGTATTTAGTAAGTAATTCTTTGGGATGTGGCACTGCTGGCAAGTCTAGTATTTATTGTACGTCCCTAACTGTCCTTAAGAAAGTGGTGGTGGGCTATCTTCTTGAACTGATGCAGTTTATGTGGTGAAGGCAGATTATGTACTTTATGCGCTGAAGGTGAAGTTGTGGTGTGTCACACCATATTAAACATGTATTAGTCTGCATACAGTCGCACAATGTTAATTGTGTTTTACATCCAGCGTAGTGATAGTCAAATGATAACAAAGCAACAGTGGTGTATGCTTAAGGCAGGACACGGGCCTTGGAGAGGAACTTGAATGTGATGGAGTTCCCAAATACCTTAGGCCCGTGACCTTCCTTATCAGGTTTTGGGGGTACTTCTGAAAACAATGTGACAGTGTACTGTATAGATAGGACATATTGAACCCATGGTAAGTCAATGTGGCTCATTTAATCATGTTAGAAACTACATATATTCATACACAGAGACCTACCATCTGCAGAAAAAAGGAACAGGTAATGCATCACTGAATTAAACAAAAGCACAGGGGACAACAACTCCCTGCTACATTCTCTATGGAAAAAATTCAACCAATCGGTGTCAACTTTGTCAACCAATTAGCACCTTATTCTAGTGCAGTATAAATTGTGATTTTTGAAATTTGACACTCTTGCATTTGGCTTGATAAGTGCAGGATGAAGAGTCTTGAGGGCATCTCTCTTTTTTTCAGCAATATTTAAAATGTAAACCCATAGTGCAGTGGTAGAATTCTCAGTTCATAAGTTAATAAGGTGTGGATTCAATTCCCATTCCAGAAGTTTAATCATAAAGTCAAGATTGATACTCTATTTCAATACTAAGGGCGTACTGCACGGTTGAAAGACTAGTCTTTAAACTGAACTGTTAAATTGAGCAAAAACAGAAGCTGCTGGAAAAGCTCAGCAGGTCTGGCAGCATCTGTGAAGAGAAAATCAGAGTTAACGTTTTGGGTCCAGTGACCCTTCCTCAGAACTGTTTAAACACTGTTAAACCGAGTCCCTGACTACCCTATAAAAAATGGACATAAAAGATCCTCTGACATTATTTTGAATTAGCGAATCCTATGGCGTGTAATTGCAAACATTTTATTAATCAAAATCTTTGAAAAACATTTCTGGTCATTATCACATGCCATTTCTGGGATGTTGTGCCTTACATTACAACAGTGACTACATTTCAAAAGTACTTCACTGGCTTTGAATTGCTGTGGAATGTCCTCAGATCATGAAAGATACTATAAATACAAGCTCTTACTTTTATTAAAACTAAGTTGCATTTAATACTGTATTGTGTTCTAACTAATAATCCAAGTTTAAATAAGCGATTAATTTTGCTTGATACACTTGCAATAAATATCCATCAATGTTGGCTAATGCCTACATAGTAATAGATGATCAATACCATGTGATACTTTGGATAACAGTACGTTTAACATTGTAATACTCTGGATTATTATACATGTTTTCATAATGTCCAACATGCTGGATGGCATTATGCACTTAGTACACTTTGATACTCTTTGATGCTAATAGTCATTTAATTTTTACACTATGCCAAATATAAAACACAATTAATGTTGTGTGACAATATGCAGACTAATACATGTCTATTATGGTGTGACACTCTGGACTTTGTACATGAGAAAATTGATTGTAATGTGTATTTTAAGCTGTTCAACACCCTAGACACTAATACATGTTTTAGGCTATGAAATATTTTGGTTAACACTCTGCCTGCTGATCCATATTTAATGGATGGAAATACTTGATGCACCAAAAGAAATATTTAATGTTAAGTGATTTGTTGAGTACTGAAATTCAATTGATATTGTGCAATGCTATGGGTTTTAACACTCACTTTATGCTGTGGAATACTATAGGTACCAACAACACCAGGAATTTGCATTTATGCAACATCTTTAACATTGAAAAACAATTTGAACAACTTTACAGAGGAGTAAACATACAAAAATAGATGCCAAGACAATAAAAGAAACATATCCAAAGTACCACATAGTATCAATCATGTAGTACTACATGTACAATAGCCAACATTGATGGATATTTATTGTAAGTGTGTCAAGCAACACTAATCACTTATTTATACTTGGATTATTTGTTAGAACACCATACAGTTTTAAACACAGCTTAATTTTAATAAATGTAAGGGCTTGTACTTATAGGGTCTTTCATGATCTGAGGATCAAAAATTGCAAAGAGTCTTTAAAGGAGGAGGAGAGAAGGGATAGGGAATGAAGGTTCCACGGCATGGGGTCCAGAGAACTGAAGACACAGGCATCATTGGTGTGTAAAGTGAAATCAGATGCTGAAATACAAAAATCAAGTATGGTTTCAGGACTGGATGAGTTTAGAATTGGGAATGGGAAAGACCACAAAGATATCAAGAAAGAATGAAATCATCATGAATTCACCAAGATCCTGAGATCACCAATTGAGGAATTGACAGAGACACTGCAGGATCAGCAAGAACATAGATGACAGATGAGCAACATAGAATAAGGAGAGCAGTAGTTTAAATGAGCTGAAATAGGATGATGAAGGGGAGACTGATCAGGTGAGGTTAAGAATAGTCAAGTATCGAGGTAATGAAGGCGTAGATGAGAGTTTTAGCAGTTGATTGTCTAAGAAAGTGGTGGAAATGGACAAGGTACAGAGTGGAATTGGGCAGTCTTTGTGATGAAGATGATGTATGTGAATTCAGAATATCAGCTGAGAATTGGTTCAATCTAAAACAATGAGCAATTAGCAGAGTAGAATCAATAAAGCAGGTACAGCATTTGTGGTTCTGAAGGAGCATCATTAGACTCAAAATGTTAACTCTTTCTCTCTTCACAGACACTGCAAGAGCTACTGAGTTTCTCAAGCACTTTGTTTTGGATGTACGGTTCTTGGTGATGTCATGATGATTTCAGTCTT